TTCTTTATCCGTGAGATAAGCCCGAGATTTTTGTTTGGAATAGCCGACAGCCATTCATAACTCGATTTAGAATTCAATAGCTTAGCTGCGACATTATACTTGTGAATCATTGGATAAGAGATCATCAATGGAGTGAGACATTAAAAAAATATCCCATGCTTTTTGAAGGGTGGAAGTGGATCTGCTAATGTTGACAAGCTCTCGAGCTTTCTAGGTCAATCATGACCAATAGGGATTAAACTTGAAATTCTTAATCTACAGGTATGAAGATATAAAAGCAGCAAGAGAGAGGTGAGATTGAGGACAAAAACAAATCCAGCCATTTTTACAAGGAACTGAGGCCTGGAGCCACGATTTGTCTGATTTTTTTATTGACGATAGCCCCCAATGTCTGAACTGGAGATCTTTGTAATGAAAGATTGGGGCTAATCTCATAGCATATATGATCTTAGATATGTAGAAATAATTTTTAAATAGAAACGCCTGATGAGCTGGTAATTCATTTAAAATTGATTGTATTTCTATTCGATTAGAATAGGTTTTGTCAAAAAGGTCATTGCACTGCTGACACCAGCAACTGGATAACCAAGATAAGTAAGTTACTGGATGGATATATATCTAAAAGAGAGGATTGATATAATAGAATTTGTGAGAGAAAATTACGATTTTGACATGTTAAGAGATTAAACTATAATGGACATAAGATTAATAATATTGTCCAGAATGGTTTTAGATGTCACCGGGCCATCTACTAAATATCAGATATTTAATAAAGGCTTTACTGGGATCTAATCTGTTAAACATGAAGGTAAAATAACGGTGGACCAAATAGGTTACCTTGTAGTAATACCTTATCAATAAATTGTTGAAATATAGTTCGCAAATTTATAATACTATATTTAAATTGTTTATTTTTTATTATTTTTATTTTGTTAATTGGGTTGATTTTTATTTAACATGACATGCTATATATTATTTATATACAAGCTAATGTTTCACTTTTACTATTTTTTATTCGCTAATAATATTTATTTTGCAAATTCGTTAACAAAATGTTATTTTTACTGCAAAATTATAATTCACTACAATAAAATCACTCTTTATACCGGCGTTTAATTTACTACCTACATTAAATTAAATTAATATTAACATTTTCTGAATCTTAGAAAACTAAACATGATTTTGCATTATTTTTTTAAAAATAACGCATAATTATTGAAGTAGGGATTCATATTTATCTCAATTTTTATATGGAGTATTCATATAAATTAAAAAATTACTAAAATATCTATGGCGGAAATTAGCTGAAATTTAAGGGGTCAATACTCTACACATGCTAGAATACATTTCCGGTTAATTTTAAATTTTTTTAAACAGCCCTCGTTAAAGGATTAAAAATCAAGAGATCCCGAATCTTCACGGATTTCATATCCTAATACAACATACATACTTCTATAATATTCAATTTATTTGGATTTGATTTTTTGATTATGCGAATTATTATAAAGTTAGAAAAAGAATCGACACATAAGCTATTTCTATTCCTGATTACTTTATTTTGTAGGCTAAACCCCAGCTCAACTTCTGCTATTTTACAATATTGGCCCATTCAATAAGCGAGTGTGTTCTCTTTAGACGCGATAAATATTTTGATATATTCTCGAAAATCTTCACATTTATGTAAAAATGTAATAGTTTTGGCAACATTAATCTTCTTTCTTTTCTTACCAGGGAAATATCAATTCTACGGACGGTAAAAATGTTAGTTTTCTGTTAAAATATTTCTCAAGATTATATGGGAAATGCGAAAATGGATCATCAAGGAATAGACTTATTGTTCACTTCTAATTAAATTTGATATCTTTTTTTATAATCCCAAAATCATTCTTTCTATTTTGCAAAGTCTTGAAATATCATCTTAATAATTCGATCTCAATTGTAATATTTAGCATTATACATAATTCCTATATATAGTATTGTTATTACTAAACGTTTAATGATTTCTTAATATTTCAGATAATTGATTAAATATAGCATAACAAGCTTTCAAAAATGTTTTTGTTTACAAGAATATTGTAATGTTTTATTATCATATGCTTGTGAATATCGAAATTTATATTTATCATTTTTAATTTATATTTTCAAATTCCCATTTTACCAACCGGCTGGAGTAAACTGGTCTGATAACTGTAAGTTGCTGTAAAAATTTAAGAATTTTCGGTGCAAACGGACACAGCTGAACGTTGAATTTAAACAATTAGTAGTAGCTTTTTTTCTTAAAATATAGTACTTGATTCCAGTTCAATATATCAATATACATGAGCTGGTGGAGGGGGGGGGGGGGTGTAGGAGAATTTTGGCCCCAATTTGAAGGGGAGAAGGGAGGGTAGGCATCTAAGGGAGGTATGCTAGAAGGGTAGTGTAAGGATAGATTAATTTTATTGAGGGTTTATCAATTAATTTTTAAGATAAAATATGCCATAATTTATTCCTGGAAAATTTATTTAATACTATAAACCTATTATAGTATTCGTATATTGGATCGTGACTAAATCCTAATATTTAGTCATTATTATTTATATAAAACTTCTATGTGGATAATTTTCTGCTATGTAAATAATAACCCTTTTATAGTCACACTGATAGTTGGTATTAAAGTATTAATAATATAAGTTATTCGTTTTAAAAGGCATGATGAAGGAAGTACCATTATATTTAAAAAATATAATTAATACCTTAGGGATATCGCCATCGTAGGTAGCAATTTTTTTAGAGAGGTAGTATAAGTTGGGTGGGGGGAGGGGGATTTTCTTCGATTGTGATGAAGACACTGATATCAGGTTAATGCCTATTTTATGTTTGATCTTTGTTTTGATAAACAAAAACAAGTATTCATGAAGGCAAAATTCATTCGATTTTTTAAATAAAATTGATATATTTAAAATTATAAATTGCTGGAATCATCGTATACATGACAAATCACTGGATGCAAACCCCCTTCAGAAACCTATGCCAACCCCCCTAGGAAATATTTACCGCCGAAGGTGGCGATGTTTCCATATATTTCACCTTTTTAATTATAATGATATTTTTTCATAAAATTTAAAGAGAATAACTTAAATTATTTTATATCTGTTACTAACTATCAACATTTTGTGAATATAAAGGAATTATTTTTAGATAAAAAATTCAATTAAAACCCCCATCATTTACAATGAATTCATTATTATAGCATTATGAGCTTGCTGAAAATGTCAAAACCTTTTAAATTATATCATAGCACAATGTTTTATTAGGATAAGAATGTTTATGATTGTTTGGAATATATAGATTTTGTTGATGAATTGTATTATAATAGGTCTATAATAAAAATATTAATTTTTACAGCAATAAATTTTGTCCTATTGGATCTCAAAATTAACCCCTCCCCTTCCCCCCCCCCCCATTTTTTAAAAAAAAATCCTACCCCCATTAAAGCTACCCCCTAACTCCTCAAAAAAAGGATGCAAACTACCCCCCCCCTCCCTCGTTCATGTAGATACTGTCTGGAATAATATGCTAATTAGTTTAATTATAATATAATGTTAGTCTATTTTAAGAATAGATTTATATAATAAAATATTTTTGATCAATATTTAATAATTTCTTCAAAAAATTAATATTATATAAATCTACAATTTTTTTTGAACATTTGGTATGGGTGCTCAGTATATATAAAATCTTAGCCTAAATTTTTATAAGGGTTAAAATCAAAAATAAAACGGCTAATTAGTCTGCATGCCCCCCCCTTCCAGTTTAAACAGCTTTCACCTAGGGCTGGAAACAAATAATAAAAATCCAAAATAAACGAAATAATGTGTTGTAAAATATTGGTATTGGTTTAAATAGTATTTTCTATTTTTTGTTGTGGTATTGGCATTTTTATATTGGTGTATATTGGCACTAGTTAAAATTCAATTATTAATAAATGCAAAGAATAAATATAGTGACTTAAATAAACAATTAGATATAAAAAACACTAAACATTATTATTTAAAAAAAATATGGCTGAAAATTAACCCTTGAGATTTTCTGAATTATGAGGATTGTATATAAAAATATAAAACTGTCTATTTGCGAAAAATATGTACTAATGATTGATAGGAATTTAGTATAAGGAAAAATAATTATATGTGCTTCTATATGCTCTATTATGTGTATATCTTCAATTATAATATCCTAAATGAATAGATAAAAATTGACATCATATCATTTAAATTTACTTTCATAATAACATATTTGGTGCCTAACCAATGAGTAAGAAAGTGGGAAATTTCGCACCAGATATATATACCTGTTCTCTTAAATATCATTTTAAGCACATAAAAAATTGCCCCTCCCCGTTGTATATAAAATATTACTGTATAAAATAATTTGAGAGAAAAATAAATAAGGAAAATATTTTTTTTTAAATAACAACAATCAATATTTTTTTAAAAAAAAAACATTTTTATGAATAAATGTGAAAAAATTATTTTTATAAAAATTTAACATAACCAAAGGTTTATAGCAAATGGTTATAAAGACCTTTAATAATATTAATGGCGTAAATTTCAAATATTGGTGCATTCCCTCCCCATCGCAAAATCCTGAATTTTAGAGAGTGTACTTGTACTAATGGTAAAATTAAGATATTACATATAATAAGTGTAGGCAGAATTATAAAAGGAGAAAATAAAAAAATATATAACAACATATTGATCTGAATAATAACTAATATTTATCTATTTTCTTAAATGTTGGTTGTTTGTTAATTTATATTGTTTTTAAATGAAATACTTCAAAACTTTATAATAGTTAATTGGTATTTATATTTGCTATAGAATCAATACTTATTTGCTTTTACATTGGTATATATTGACATTGTATTTTAAAAACAAGAATATATTATTACTGAGTTACTTTTAACAACTCTAATTATGTTTATTGACATTTTTCCTAAAAGTGATTGACTGACATAATAGTGATCTTTATAAATATTTCGTATGCTAAGGGCGATTTATAAATAATCAAGTTTAGCAAACCCTAAAAATTTAGAAGACGATGGAAGACGAAGAGTTAAAAAATAAGATAGAAGAATGGCTTAAATATGATTTTGTAAATTTTTACTAGTTTTTAAATTATATTAATTTATATACAGAATGAATTAACAAGACAAACTGTTTTACGTTTAATTAAAGCAAACGACGTCAAAGCATTGAAAGGTATGATGTTGAATCCTTTGGTTTTTGGGACAGCAGGTTTATTATAACAATATTAAGCATCAGTTTGTATAAATCACTTATAACAGGGCTAAGAGCCAAGATGAATGCTGGATTTTCTTTTATCAATGATGTTACTATTATTCAAACAAATCAAGGTTTATTAAAATATTTAGAAGAATGTGCTGAAACAAAGGATAAGCTTAAGGAAAAAGGAATTGTAATAGGATTTGATGGGAGATATAATAGTCATAGGTACATACTGATTAACATTTATATACCAAATATATTTTAAAGATGGGCTAAAATGAGCGCAAATATTTTTATAAATGCTGGTGTCAAAGTTTATTTGTTTTCTCATTTATGCCCTACCCCATTTGTGGTAATATTATATTATATATATAATTTTAAAATAAAACTAATATTTTATTTTATTAAACAATTTTTTAAGCCATTTGCACTTAAATATTACTCTTGTGTGGCAGGTGTTATGGTAACCGCTTCCCATAACCCCAGAGAATATAATGGATATAAATTATATTGGACAAATGGTGTTCAAGTATGTTTTAAGTGGATTTTTTTAATTTCATTTATATCTCAAATAATATTTATTGATATTATTTACAATGCATTTGTAATACTATATTAACCATGCTTATGCCCAGCCAGTGTTGTTAAATGGCTCATTTTGAGCTGGTTATTTAAAATGGCTAACTCAATATTTTAGCCAGAAAAATATTGCCTTAGCCTTGAGATTTGGATTATATATGTCTAGAATTTTGTTCCTTATGATCAAAATCTTCAGGCTTGCGAATTAGCCGTTATTTAAAATCGGCTCAAAATGAGTTGTTTAACAACACTATGCTCAGCCCACTGCAATTGACTTATTTTTTGTATATTGATTTCTAAATTATTTCAAATAGATTGTGATATAAGCATTAATCACAATAGATCTAAAGAATTACTCATGACAAATAATATTTTAATCCTTAAGAATAAAAAAATATCCTATAATTTAAAATTTTTATTTTACAAAATTTATTTTAGTTATAATATCTTAGAAATTGACATAGCCCACCCATAGGGTAAAAATATTTTTAGGTTGGCCTGGATAAATTATGCAAATTATTTTTACAGGTGGGCTGGAGTTTATGTTTTAAATTGATAATTAGGCATATTTAAATCATTTTCCTATAAAGAAATTTTTACAGATTGGGTTGGAGCTTGTACAAAATATATTTTACAGGTCAGATAAAATTAATTACAGGTATGGCCAAAAAGGAAATAATTTATATAAGCCAGTTTAAGCCATGCCTCCAATTTATATTAAGTTGGAGGAAGTGATCTTTGAGTTTGAATCTATGCTAAATAGTTTTATAGCTCTTGTTATATTTGTAATTTTTTTAAGTCTTTGGGTTAGACATATTTAAAAATAAGTTTAGTTTATAATTACTCCATTGACATATATCTTAGGATGTATTCTCTGGTACTAAACTTATTTTTTAAAGCTTCTTAGTTACTTTTCTGCACACTCAATGAATGAAAATTAAGTTTTTATCTTTCTAAAAAAAATTAAAATGAATTGGCCAAAAATATTTGTTTCAACTAGTTTTCATATTTCTTATACATATTATTAAAGTTTCCTTATGTTTAACATATTGTTTCTATTCAATCTTTAGAATTAAAAATGAAATGCTAATTTAAAAAATCAGTTCACAAAAAATACTGAATGCTCAGAATTATTTCTTAATGGTCAGATAACAAAAATTTCCCATAAAAATACTAATAGCTCATGTATAAAATCGAAACGCTCAGATGGATTGCTGAAAAATATATCAAACGCTTAAAAATTCGCCTAAGATTTAAAAAAGATTATCCATTAAATTCACTGAAATTCTGAGCCTTAAATATTTTTTAATTCTAAGCAATTAAGGATTTTATTTATATGGAGTATAAAAAATAAATTAATTGTGTTAAATTTAAAAATTGATCAGCTGTTATATAATGTTGGATAGGATCACATTATGAATCCAGTCTAATACAACTAAAACTACAAACATATTTTTAAAAATTTATTTGAATTCAATCATATTTATAAAACAATAATAATTCTATGTATTCTTAGCGAACATTAAAAAAATTTTTTTTAATGGGACATCATGTTAGGCCAGCAATTCTAAGGAGATTTTAAAAAATGCAACAATGCTTAAATTACAAAAATGCATATGGATAAATCTTGCAGCTGTGCTTACGATTAGCATAATGAGCATCACATTTTTTTTAGATTGTATTTCCTATAAATTTTTAAGAAGATTCATATCCAGTTTATTTTATATTGATTATTCTTAAAGATTTTTTTTATAAAAATAAAAACAAGCCCTTTTATATCCATGTTATATGAATTTTTTCTTTATAAACTTAAAGTTGACATCTCCTCACGACAAACATATAGCAGATAACATAGATAAATACAAGGAGCCATGGAAATCATCGTGGATCGATTTTAGTGAACACCAAAATAGCCCTTTGCAACAAGATCCTTTGATGGAAATTACCAACTCTTACATGAAATTCGTCACCGATAGATTACTATACAAGTTTTACCTCCTCCCTTACAAATAATAAAGGCCAAACAGGACCCTTTTAGACATCAACACAACCGGACCGATTTTATCAACAAAATAAGAGACATTAAGTTTTTTTAGATTCGATCAAAATGTGCCCCTCCATTTTATTTTAAGAAAAAGTTTTCCAACTGTGCACCTGTCAGGTTGACCTTCACAAATTCTAAATACAAAATATACCTTGTTTTTTTTACTTATAAAATTCACAATGACAACTGACATGATTATTTTCTGTCGGCATTTAAAATAAAATTATTTTAAGAACGCCGTTCACTTCCTTAATGATGTGTTTAAAACTCAAAACACTATTTTTTTGGACTTTAATTTTGAACAGCTGGTCTTTGTTTCTATCCTTTAGATGTGTTTCTATTGTTTGGCATACAAATATAAATATAATAGGTTATTGCAGATAGAGACTTATTATTTTGCGCGGGATAAAAATTGAAACGCTCAGAATTTTAATTTCTTCCTTAATATAATTCATAATTAAAAATACTTTAAGGAATATTTATTAATTTTCTAAATAAAATTTTGATTTTTTTATTTAAATTTATCAGAAATGCTATTCCAGGTATCAAATAAAAGGTAATAGACATATTTTTTGAGTGCTATTTTAGGTCATGGGGTTCTCTATAAGTTTCTAAAAATATCAAATGAAAGCTAATTAAAAATTGAGTGCTATTCGATATAAGAGCAATGATATATGATGTTATATCACTTGCTAAACAACAACCTTTATTAAAATGCAATAAGACACATATTTTTTTAATATATCATCGCCCCGATGCCAGAATGGCCAATTTGGTTTAAGAAGAAAACATGACTCTTGCTGGATTCGATCCCAGAACCATCAAAGTAGAATACATGTACTGAACTGGCTAGGCCACATACGCTTTTTAAAATCATAAAAAATAATTTGTATATAAGGATAAAATTACAATGCTATCTAATATTTTTTTAAAAAAACACATAAAAAAATCATTAATGTTCAATCCTATGTATCATTACTCTTAGAATTAATCATTCTAAGTCATGGGGAGTCGAGTTAGAAACCTAAAGAAATGTCTCGATAATGGTATCAAATGAAAAGATTTTTAGAATGCTATTAAAATTAATCATAACTCCTAAGAAAGAAAGAGAGAAGATTCACATATTTGAAGGATTATAATATTTCGAATGTTAACCATTACTATATTAATAAAACAAAAGATTCCGTTTTTTAAAATAAGCGCTAGTAACCAGTAAGATTTTTTTGGAAAAAACCTAAAGGGCCAATAATTTTTTTATAATTTTAATCATAAAAGATTCTTAAAATCAATAGTGCTAAAAATAAAGTGACTAGTTTTGATCTTTTTGAGAAATTATTAATTTTTTTATGGGCCATTTAGTTTTTTTATCTTAAATTAATAAATATTTTAAGCATTTAGTATTTTTTCTGAGAATTAAGTATTTGTTGTGAACATTTAAAGTTTTCTTTACTGAAAATTTCCGTTTTAATTATACGATTAAATAGAAGCCTTTTAATAAATCTCAATTAATGTTAATTTGGATGATGCAGATATTTATAAATTTAATAATTAGAATAATTTAAAGTTCTAACACTTTTTTATATGATAATTTGCTTCTACTAATAAAAATAATATTCGTAGGAATAACGCAGCGTTTAAAAACTGCGTCAATTTGTTCCCTATCTTTTAACATTGTAAATTTTTCTTGCGTTTCAAATGTAGCGTTAAAAAATGAGACAGGACGAACTCTAATAGAGAAAATTTTGCAATTTATAATAACTATGCTTTAAGCTATTCTACAGATGAGAATTTTTTTAAAAAAACACCATAACAAACAAAATGATATGAGAGTTAAAGTTATTCATCAATTTTTAATTCAAATTTTTTTTAAAACTCAAAACAAAGGAATTTGAACGTTTCAGCTAATATCAAAATAGCTTTCACACCGCTTCATGGAGTTGGATGGGTGTATATTAAGAAAGCTTTTGAGGCTGGTGGATTCTCCTCCGTTTATCCTGTCATAAAGCAGGTTAACTGACAGTAATGTTATAATTTTGTAATAGTTTATAGTTTTTTTTAAAAGATAAAAATAAAAGCCTTGCTAAATTATATATAAAAGGAATTTTTTGAAACCCATTTCAAAATGATTAACATAGAGATGTTTAATTCTGTTCTTTAAGTACACTTAGTTTTTTTATTTATCCTCGAGGAGAGAAGATTATTAGGGCATTTTCAGGATAAGTTTTCTGCTTAATATATTTTTTCTCCCAAGTAATCACAGTCTTGAGAGTTTTCTGGTTTAGTAAAATCCTAATACTGACATGATGTCAGGTCTTTTTTTGAAACATTTATAAACTATATACATGCTGGATAATTAATAAACCATATGCCATTGACCCATAAAGGATGAATTACATGCTTAGAAAAAACTCAGAACATCCTTAATCAAATATTATGGGTTTTTATACTAGTTAAAATTTCAAAAAAATAAATAACCTTTTATAAATACAAATAATATATTTTCTTAGCAAGATCCGGATGCGAATTTTCCTACTTTAGATTTTCCGAACCCTGAAGAAGGTAAATTTGTCATGAAATTAGCCATGGAAACCGCTTTAAACAATCAATGTTCTCTTGTTTTAGCCACCGACCCCGATGCTGATCGAATGGCAGCCGTGGAAAAACAAAGGTTTTTTGTATTACAATTAGTGCTGTAAACGTTACTACAAAAAAGAAACGCATTACCGTTACATCTGAAAAATGAAACGCGTTACCGTTACTCGTTACATTTTACAAAAGGAACTCGCGTTACCGACTTCTCAAAAAAATAACGGGCTACTCGTTACTTAAAAAAATTAAATGTTATATATAATGCAAAAAAATATTTTTTTTTTATCGGACAATATATAATAAAATAAAACTACAAAAAGAACATATAAAATAAGATCTTTTTATATAATAAAATTTTCATAATTATAATATGAATAAAATTATACAAAAATAATACATTATAAGATAACATCTTTATGTAACAATTTTTTATTTATTTTTAACAACAATTGATTTTCAAAATTTTGATCAGATAAACATGAGCGCTTAGTACTCAACACAGCTTTCGCTGTGCTAAACACACGTTCAATTGGCGCAGAACATGGGAGAATGGTGTTATATTTAATAAACAAAAATTTCAATTCGGGGAATTTATCAAAAATATTTAAGGAAATATCTTTATTTTGAAAAAAGCTTGAAAGATCATCTTCACAGAGATCTTCATTCATTTCCTCATCAAAAAAAAATTAACATTATTTGAAAATATTGTGTGTGTTGGATAAAGTAATCAAGCCTTTTCTTTCTTTTTCAAATTGGGGCCAGGGAAGGGTTAAATTTTCTTCATCTTAAGAAGTTAAGTACTATGGACATAATATTCTTTTAAAATAAATTATAAATTAATTAATAATATCATTATATTTACTTTGAATTTTGATTGAATATTAATTTCGACTGATAATTTAACAACGAGAATTTAAAAAAAAAGTTGGAAGTGGTTGATATGAATTAAAACTAGGCTTAAATTATTAATATTAAGAATTAAAAAATAATAAATAAATAAAAGTAATTTTGTAATACAATATAATATTATTTTTCCGAGTAAAGTAACATTTTGCGTTACCGTTACTCAAAAATTTAAACGCGTTACCGTTACTCGTTACCTTTAGATTAAGGTAACGAATGACTTTCTTTTTTGACGTTACTTCACAGCACTAATTACAATACATATATCTCTAATAATAAAGTAGAATTAGAATAATGTTTTAGTTTTTTTTAAAAGAAGGAATATACAAAGATTGAGAGTTTGATGGATAGAAGAATGGAATATGAATTTGACAAAGGACGGAGGAGGTGAGAAAGGTTATCTCAAAATGAGTTATATAAAATCTGGGTAATTGCTTAAAAATTTTTTTAAATAAAATATTTATTTATTTATTTTCTATTATAGCGAAGATAATTGGCATTACTTCACAGGTAATGAACAAGGTACTTTGCTAGGGTGGTGGGCCTATCATTGTTGGCTAAATCTTTATAATTCTAAAATACCTCATAATGAACATCACGAGCCTCAAACTAATAATACTCAAAAAATTTGCGATCAGGATGTAATTTTAACTGATGATTTAAAGAATCGAATCAAGAAATTATACATGGTAGCCAGTACAGTATCTGGTCATTTGTTACAGAAAATGGCGGAGATCGAAGGGTTTGGGTTTGAAGTAATTAGTTCAATTTTAGAATGCCTTTTTATATGTAAATGTTTTTCAATCTTTTAAGGAGTACCTAATTTGACTCGAATTTACTTTATTCGAAATAACTAACCTTAAAACTTGCATATTCATGTGAATTCCATGATAATAGTAATGAGCAATTTCAGCATCACCCAATAAATCATATATTGCATATCGACCTCAATGTGCATGATTGTTGATGCCATGGAATTTATATCAAAACTTGAATAATTACAAAGAAATCTAATTTAGTGTTGCCGCGTTTATCATTTAAAATCCCTGGCCCACAAATTTTTTAAAATTAAAATATTAAGTTTACCTGCATATCAAGCATATATTTTTAAAGTCCCTTCAAGATAATCATTATAGATTCCCTCTTTTATTAACATTCTTTAAAATTTATTTTTATATGTATTTTAATTCTTATATTCTATTAATCATTTATTATTTTGGTTTTATTTAGTTTTTATAAAAATATTTTCAATAAAGAGTTTAGTAAAAAAAAAAGTTTAATAAAATAATACCTTATGTAGATTTTATATTTAATAAAGTAATACAATTATTAATGCTGTAAACATTTCTAAAAAATTCGAACGCGTTGAACGTTCTTGACAAAAAGGAACGCTTTCACGTTCGTTCAAAATTTTATGATAAATTTTTTTTAAATTTTTATTTAATATATATAAATGTATTATATTTTTTAACACAATAAATTAGACATGTTAAAAAATAATATAGTTTTATTTTGAAATATAATTAATAAAAAATTTGATTATAAAATATAGGACTTTTTTCTTTAAATATTAGGATTAATATTAAATTTTTCTAATAAATAAAAATAAAAAGTATTTTTAAAATTGAACGAACGTTAAATTCGAAAGCGTTCGTCATAAAAAAGGAACGCCTTCGTTTACAAAACTAACAATTATACATTTAATAACTACACCTTAAAACGTATTATATAATTTTCGCTTTTAATATTGGCCAATAATGGATCTATTTTAAATGCTGATTCTATATATATTTAATCATTAAACAAATATTGGATATATTCTGATGCCAATTATTTTTTAAAATTTAAAATATGTCTTTTGTTTTTGAATAGTAATTTTAAGTTTGAAATTGTAGGAAAAAAATTAACTGTTTAGTTTTGAAATTTTCCAGCCCTATAGATTAGTATTTTTAATTTTATTCTTTTAAAATAATGAACCAATTTTTTTTATTAAAGGAAACTTTAACAGGATTCAAGTGGATAGGTAACAAAGCCGACGAACTTATTGAAAGTGGACACGAGGTTATTTTCGCTTATGAGGAGGCAATAGGTTATTTTATTAGATATATGAACTACATAACTGGTCAAGTCGAACAAGTTCTTTAGATCCAAAAAATCTAGAAGGAGGAAATATCATTTTCACAGAATTAAGAACAATATTTGAGCATATTGATATTTCCCTCATTTTTTAGTGATTTTAAAAAACTCATCTGAATACAAGTGTTTATTTTAAATTTACTTCAAAAATTTTCGAGATATAAGCTAGATTATCAATTTTATTTTTAGTGACTTAGAATAGGAACCATCATTTTAGGGTATTGGACTGGTATCTGTTAAAATCGAGGGTATCATTGCATCTTATATTTCACAAATAAAATACAGAAAGCTTGTCAACTTATTAAACTTTGAAACAGAAAATCGGGCATTTGTTTAATTTAGGCAAAAATCTTGGTTTCTAACAAGTCCCTAATGAATATCGCTTTTATATATTATAACAATATCAAGGTTACATGTGCGATTCCAGAATTTTAGACAAGGACGGGATATCTGCCTCCTTACTTTTGGCGGAGATGGCAAGTTATTTAAAGATACAAAAAAATATGACCTTATACCAAAAACTTATGGAGATTTATGAAAAGTTTAATATTCCTTTTATAGAATATCATAAGTTTTATGTTTAAGTTACCTATTAAATTTGCCTTTTGCTTTATACAAATAGATATGGTTACAATGAATTCAAAAATTCATATCTGAGTTGTTATGATCCGAAGATCATTGCCTCAATATTCGATTCAATCAGAAATTGGCAGGGTCATCAAAATACAGTACAACATTTCATTTATGAATTAATGCAAATTCAATATTTTTAAAAGTTCACAATTAAAAAACGGAATTACTTTCATGAAATTACGCTTGTGGCTCAAACCCAGAAAAGAAATATCTGAATTTCTTCCTTATTGGGCGACTTTACTTATATAATCCTAAAATTTTTTTAATGTTGTTGCATTACTACGGAGGATGAGGATAATATAACTATAGGTCTGCAATAAGCTGTTTGACAAAATATAATATCATTTTATTGTAAACAACATTGTGTTATGAATAATCACTTTTTTTCTAAAAAAGAATATTGTAATTTTTTATTTATTTTAAAAAACAATAATATATCTATATTATAACTTATAAAAAACATGTAAACTATTTAAAACATCCTAAAAAAACCCATATTAAATTTTTATAAGGCAGGAAAAAAAGTAAGAATTAAAAAAAACAAAGTAAAAGAAAGCTCTCGTCGAGATCCGAGGAAACTAAGATAGTTGCATCTCAGAAAGAACACATCAATTTGTATTAATTGTAAAAATTTATAAGGATCTACGATCCCCATTGCGATCTTTTTATCTAAATCTAAGGGCCCTGTATAGATAACTTTAACCATCCGGCTATATTAATCACATCAATGTTTGGTTAGAGCAGAATTTGTAGACAGATGAAATCTAAACTTAGGTATTTTCCTCTAAACAGAATATTTGTAAAGCAATCTGGTCTTCTCCCATCAGACATGGATGAGTGAACGGGTTTCAGGAGATTTGGTTAGTTGGCCAAACTTAATTTATTCGAGATTGGCGACTGAACTACTCATTGTTAAAAAACTAGATCATGTCTACTTTTAGGATCGATTTCTTTCTGGCACCTTTTACATTTATGAGGTAGACATAGGTCGCAGCCTAATTTATACCCTATGATCACTCTCGGTTCCTCGTCTGATATTAGCAGACTAAGATTGAGACTTTTTACATTTTTAATCAAAATATTAAAAAGGATGGGAGATTGTTTTTACTTACTGAAATATACATCAAATGAGTCCTTAGGGGATATTATTATATGAGGTTTGGATATGTATAGGTGTAGGAATATTGGGTTCATAAAATTTAAATTTTGTGATACTTAAATATAATTGCTAAGAAATAGTCTAAAATATTAGTCATTAATTCGATATTATAATATAACCGTATATATACTATCAAATCCGAACTAAATAAAAATAAATATAGGTAATTTTGTTCGCTGGCTGTAATAAATCTAATCTGATGTCGATAATATTATAAAATAAATTATATATGTATGGTTATACTAATATATGAGATTGCAATCTAGTAGGAAACTCATAAAATAATTACGTAGATAACTAAATATAATATTTAAAAAGATAAAGAAAAATGCATTTGTAATTATGGGAAGGAGAGGCTAAGATTAAGCAGTGTTTCAAAGAAGCACTAGAATTGCTACTTAAATTGATAACATTTTATGCACTTCACGATTAATGGCAATTTGCCAGGTTTATAAAATTTTTTTAGTATTTTAATTTTATTGATATATTATTTTTTTATCGTTGTTATATTAATTTTAATAAATAGAAAAATATAATTGAATATTATTATTTTGTTCGAAATTATATTTGTTTAAAAAAATTTAAGAAGGTATTTAATAAAATGATCCTAAAAATTAAGAATTACAAATAAAATGAATATTCAGTTTTTTGCAATTTTATCACCTTTATTATTTTAAATAAAGTATCCCAAAACATGTGGTCCATATGTCATCAAATATATCAGAGATTTGACGACTGGGTACGACAATTCAAAACCTGATAACAAAGCGGTATTTAATTTTGTCTCACATATTCTATATTGATAGGAAAAAAAATAATATTTAGAATATCATCTCTCGTTTAAATTACATCAGTATTTATGGCGCATTGGGATGATCCCCCTCAAATTTAAGAAATTAATGACTCTTAAAAATTATTAAATGAATTATTTCATTTTGTTCAAAAACATCAGGTTTTGCCATTTAGCAAATCCAATCAGATGATCACGTTTACATTCGAGCATCTCGATATCAAATTAACTCTTAGAGCAAGTGGAACTGAGCCCAAAATAAAATACTATTCCGAAATTTTGGCTCCCGTGGGTTACAAGTTAGTTATTTTAAATACAAATATTTAATTTTATATTATATGAGATTTTAAGACTCTAATTATATAACTGGGGACTACAAAGCTATCCCCTTATGTTAAAAAAATTTGTTTCTTAAAGTCAGGCCTGTGCCTAAAATTTACGGAAATTAATTTTTTAATGTTTTTTAATAAAAAGGGATAAAGATAAAATAAAGGATGAGCTAAAGTCAATCGTAGGCAAAGTTGTTGAAGAATTTCTTAAACCTGGTGTAAATAATATATCCTACCCAGATATGCTCCCTGAATAATCAAAAGAATATTTCATACAGGTGTTTTTTTTAACATTATTTATTTTCTGGTTTTATTTAAAATCTGATAAATTTTAGAAAATTACTGTGAATCGATTTTTTTAAACAACCTATTGAATATTAATTTATTGCTGACTCTTTAAATTTATTCATGTAAAATATTTTTTAATTTATTATATATTTTACTTAGCCAATTGAAATAAATATATTGTATAATTAATTTTTTATTCTAATCAATTATCTTATCTCATTGGAGTATTTTGAATTCCTCAAAATTATTTATAAAATATTTGACATCACACAACGTGTGTATAAAAATATATATTGTATTATAAAATATTTGGTGGATGTTTTTTTGATTTATAAATGTTTAAAAAATACATTTCATATTAAATTAGATGAGTGGTTTTATAGATAATAAAATATTTATAAAAATGTTTAAAAAATAAATATCATATAAAATTAGATGAGTGGTTTTATATATAATAAAATATGTATAGAAATCAATAAACAATTATTATCTGTGTAAATAACATGATATTTGTATAATTCTATTCTAAATTTTGCTAGTTAATTTAAAAAAAAATAATTATATATATTCCTTGAAATATTAATTAAAGACAATTAAAACACTAATATTCTATTTTCAACAGATAGTAATTTTTATCAAAAGCCTACTTGAGTTTTGAAAGTAAAATATGGTATGAATTATCTTATAAAAAAGGGTTATAAATAAATAAAAAAACCATAAAATATCGACAGAAGAATGCCATAAAGGGTTAAATGCATTTTGAATATCGTGAGGGCTGAATTGAGCAAAATTATTTGATCTGCACTAATTTTGTTAGGTGTGTCTCCAGGATTAAATCGCATGGGACAATTATCAACTATTCCATTTTAAAAAGTAATAAATGTAAAGTTATAATAGAAAATTTATAAAATAACATTCATTTTTTTTTTAAAATTTTTAGTTTAAATTGTGAAATTGATAAACAAAGTACTTACAAAAAATCACCATATTATTCCATTGTTGAATAAATTAAAGTATATTTTTATTGAATGTTCTGAACCGACTGAGTAATTAAATTTTTATTAGGGAATAAATTAGATCTGGTACATCTCTAGGCTTAAATGTTGAATAGATTTTTGCTAAAAATCACCAATTTGTTTTTAAATCAGAGACCTGCACTAAGTACATGGGCCGAGCTGTATTTTTTTAAATATATCCAGGAAGGGCCGTATATTTTAAATTGCCATTATTAGCTATAAAAATTAATAAATATTTTTAAAAAAATACGCGCTGGGTTGTGCAAATGGTACTTCTGGCAGTTCTCTGATTTATATTATGATATAATTCGAAAAGAATATATGAGGCTAAAAAATAAAATAACATTGTCTTTCGCTTTCGATGAGCTTCAGGTATAAGCTTGCTCCTTCAGAAGCATTCCAGCTATTGGGTAATTGATTTACTCCACAATATGATTGTATTGAACGTGACATAATTATTGTATTGAAATGTGTCCTTAAATATACCTTGAATATAATAGATATGATTATGAAAAATTTCATCAGTATTTTTTAATACAAGCTTATATAACCAAGGATTAAATTTTTGTTTTATATCCAGTTCTTAAAAGTTCATTTTCTTAACATGAAATAGATATATGTTATAGACCTGATAATCATATTTAATTGGACCGAGCCTGGCGGTAAATTTTTTAGGTCTTGGCCCATCCAAACCTTTTATGAATGGAATTAATAAATATCTCAAGTTTAAAATATTTATTATCTATTTTAATGTAATGATTAAATATAAATATCCAGAAATAACTTGTTATAAAATACGATATGATATATTTCTCATCTGATTACTTTTCTTTTATTTCCATAATTAATTTTGTAATTGTGATATTCGATTCGGCAAAAATGAAATAATAGGAAGGAATTTATAACATTATTATTTCGAGCCATGGGTAGAACCTCTATTTTATTATGTTACAACAAGCTCTATCCTTAAATCCTATTATGATATCATAAAATTTTGTAGTTTTAGGCTTACATGCAATGCCCAAATTTAACCAGACCTCGGTGAAAAATTAGAGCTTTTTATTATAAGTTATTAATTATAGATGCGATCAAATTTTTTTAAATTATTTTTCCTTATGTAATAATAAATATTTAGAACGCCCCTAACAGAACAATTTACCAAGGCTAAAATCAATTGTTATCAAAAATTAAATCTCGATGGTTAAAAAAACTAAAAAGAATACTCGCATCATACTATAAAAACTTGATAAGGAATGTATCTCAACTTATTAAAATAAAAATACATTTATAATTGAGGGTACATTAAAAATTGAAGAAAAAAAACACTTTGTAAGAGGACAAAAAATTGTAATCTTATAATCAATTTCAAAAAGTGAGTCCCTGGACAGAATCAAGAAAACATAAATATACAAACCCAGCATCGGTAGCGACTAGCAGAATCATTTTCATCGTACGTTATCAGGTAGGAAAGAGAATCTTCCCGCCAATAACCTATGCAGGACATTTCGTAATCTACTTTATCGAATTCCCCTAACGGTTTACCCCGGGAATCAAGGCTCACACATTTGTGGACGTCAATTAGCATTTTGGAGGCGTCCTTAGAACATACCCTCAGTTCTGATTCTACATTATTGCATGTAACCTACATTTTTTTGGTGTAAAAAAACAAGTAGCTAAATTAAAAATTAAAGCGATTTTGGGGGATTTGAAATGGATTAAGTTTTTTGAGGGCAACAATAATGTTGCAATTTATTAATAATTTTTTAGCTTTAAAATTTTAAAATATATGTCAACAGCTATGATCAATAAACGCCTAAATAAATTTTGCAGTTTATAATAAATTTTATATACCCTGACTTCTGGAACCGCTGTAATTCCTCCAATAATCCTATCGTCTAACTGTGTTTGACCCTTTTGTTCGAACCTATACCGACCTATTATATTTTAAATTTCAATTGCTATTTAGTAATTTATATGAGAAAATTAATCGATGCCACGCCAATATAAATAAATGAAATATATATATTAAGAATCAGAATTGCTGGAACGTCTCTACATTTTTTACTAAAACAATTAGGGCACCCTTATATTTTAAAAGTCGAATGGGAGCTAGCTCCTTTTTAGCATGGAGTGGTTAATTTTATTGAACAAAAAATAATTTCAATATTAAATATATTTTGTTGAATGAATTAACAAATTCTGTAATATACAATTATTTAGAATATTATATATATACAATAGTTATCTTTATATTTTTAAGTTTATAGGATTTTACATTATGACTTAAACACATATTTATTTTTAAATGCATGAAGCTATTTATATATTAAGAGTTATTATAATAAATTTTTTTATTCACTTTTTCAAATAATAAAACATATAGTTTTGTTATCAAATGTAAAAATAACTGAATTAAATTAAATAAAATTTCTATTTCCATCTAAATATTTTTCCTCAAAAATGGATTTTTATGATCTTAATGAAACAACTTTATTGGACGTAAACAGCTCACTGAATTGGCTCGAAATCATTGCAATGACTGCAGCCTTAGCCCCAAAATGTGTTGAGGATGAGCACACTTGACTTGGCCAAGATTATAATTGATGTGCATAGAAGTTTTAAAATAAAAATAAGATAAAAACCATTACTGATATTGGTAGAACTATGTGAAGGCTTCCATGTTATTCTAAATTAATCATTTTAAAATTATATAGAACTCTCTTTTAATTTTTAGAATGATTGAGGAGAAAAGTTCTGAAATGGATGAAGATTTCCAATGTGTGAATAACTATCCTGACTAACAGAGTAGAATTGTATGATCTTCTACCAGAGCATTCAAATATAAATGCACCAATATTAATTTAGTGGCCACAGTTGATGTGAGAAAACTATAGTCATTAATAAAAGGTTTATAATTTCATAAAAATATATTTTTTTTTAAATAACTATTTTCAAGTGTTAATAATGATATGATTGCTGCAAATATCCATCCTGCATTTAAATTAAATTGGGAATTAATATAAGGGGATTAAAATAGAGAACTAAAAAATTAATTAATTAATTTTGCAGGGAAACAAATTCCAAGCACAAATATACCTACTATCGCACCAAAAATGCCTTTCAATGATTTAGAAGATTTTTTGGAAGATTCAATAGGAAAATATATTAGACATACATTTCTTAACAAATAATAAAAAAATTAATTTATTCGATAATTATAATGATTTAAAAAATATTTTTATAAAATAAAATACCCCTCTTCCCTCTAGTGCACCTAATGAGCGCTTCTTCAATATTGCTAAACAGGTTTTAGGGGAGCTTATTTGATTCAAATTTAGAACTTGCTACTGTTAAATACAAATAAAAGAAATAGATTTTTTTTGATGTACCATTTTCTTTGAATATAATTATATAGATAAAAAAAATATGATTTTATATTGTGTTGCGGCTGAAATCTACTTACACTCAATCATATAAGAAAGTTGAGGGTAGATTTAGGTGAGTACATTGGCCTTTATGGCTTTTGTACTCGTCGCTTTATTAAATCAATTAATAAAAATAGGTTTAATATAATATATATATCCGAAAACTTTTTTAGTATAAGAACTCTTTCTAAATAAAATATAAATGGCAGAATAGTATAATATCAAAAATTTTTCGGATATATATTAGAATAAAAAACATAAGGAATAGAGGTTAGGTCCTTTATTTTAGGTAACCTACTAACTTTGGGTGAGTAAGAAGGAGCATAATTTAAATTTATAACTATAAAGGTAGAAGATATTCTTATCTTATCAGTTGTGACTCTAAAATTTTAACAACCAGTTCACTAATTTCCTTGCTAGATATGAGTCAGGTCTATAATTACTCAATCAGCGCCTTTCCTTAGCAACTGCTTTACAAACTAGTTTTTTATAGATTAAATTTTTATGAATAAAATTTAATTCATTTATCTACATAAATTATTAATATATATAAAATATTACTCATTTATATATTCGATTCTAAAAAAAAAAATTAAAAATATTTTATTCAATTTATTTAAATCAAATATTGTATAATATGTAAGTTACCATATATTTTCCATATATAGAAAATGTTTAGTTTTGCTTGATTCACGGACCTTTGTATCTGTCACAAGGTATGATAATTTATCCATGATTTCATAAATGATATAGAATTCCAAATATGTCAAATGCGTCATCAATTACAATTTCATTCATTTAGCTGAAGTCTTGCCCCGTTTCACGCACTAATTTTGGCCATTTTAACAGCTTAGGAAAGTTGGCTTCCAGTTAAGTCAATAAAGTTTTAATAATTCCGAAAATTATTAGCACTATTTTCAAGCTCAATTGTTTTGATAAGATTTCAAAATCTTTTACCCCTTCTTTTCAGAAAGATCATATTTTGAATTATCAAAATTTAAGAGTTTAGTAGTAAATAGTTTGAGCTCCATGTGTTCAATAACTTTTAACAACTTACTTCACGGTAATGATGAAAATTCATTACTTGAATTAAACGAGGAGGACTCGTATCGCTTTATTAAATTTGACACCATTTTCTGTATTATCTCTAAATCGTTCTTTAAATTTTGCAAAGCTTTAAAAGATCATCTTAAATTGTCAGTTTTTAAGAAATCAATTTATCTCGATTGTAAGGCGTTGAATAATATAAAGGTGGTCATAGTTATATGTTCACCATTATATACATAATTTTTAAATGCATTCTTTGGGAATAGATTAATTTTTGCAACAATAAAGGTACTCGTCCAATTTTTGCATAGAAAAATTATGTCTAGTTCTCATTAGATTGATTAAAGATGGTATACATTTTATCAAAAATGTCCTTAAATTATTATATTTCATAGTATTGATAGAATAACCCAGTAATAAATGAAGTCTGGGGTTGAGACAGAACCAAATTATTATATTAGAGGTTAGGAAGATGAGAATTACGAATATTTGAAATAAATAATAGATTTTAAAAATGTTCTGGTAAAAAATATGACATATGGTTAATAATTAAATATATTTTTTATTGTTATATTTTGTAAAGAACTAATTTGTTGATAATTATTAATCAATTTTCAAAAGCATGCAAAAATTTAACAACCAGTTCGGATGAACTGGCTCTGGAACAGCACTCATAAAATAGTGGATTATTAAAAAAAATATATATTAGGTTTTAGCTAGATTAGATAAAAATATGTTCCATAATATATGGGCCTTGTGTCAGATTTTATATACATAATATTCTTTTTATATAATATTCGTTTTCCACTGTATTATAATTATTTTTAAAAGCTTTCAAAAGGCTCTTATGTTTATGTTTCTGAGAAAATATTCCTATTAGAGATGAGTGGCCGGGCCTGAACTGGCCTGAATTTTTTGTTCAACCCGTTAAAAAATTATGCAAGTGTTCCCTTGACCGCAAAAAAAATTTTCAAAGGAAAAAAATCATAAATATATATTCTTTGGCATATATTTTGACGCACCAACCTAAAATTTGATATATTAATATTATTTGTATTAGTAAATTTCAGATAATAATTTTACATGATTGCGTATGGATTATTCTCAAATTTTGAAATTATTTGCAAATATTCGTAATTAATTTTTTTAAGGCCACTGTTAATCAAATATTTTTTTGAGCATATGAAGTATTGATTTTTTTTATTGTGATTGATAATGTAGTGACTTCTTGTCAAAATTTTCTAAACCATATAAAAGCAGATATTTATAAATTATAAGATTATGCAATCAGCATGAGAGGAAATAATAGGTCTGGCTCCTGTATTTTGTGAGCATCGTATAGTTTGGCTTAATATATTATAATCCCCTTAAAAAAAATTTTTTTAATTGACATTTAAAAATCTGATTGATTTTTTAAAAAAATATAAATAACCTTGTATAGGGCAAGGTGTATGTGCTCGAGATTCTGCTAATAGCGTGGAATACTTCCAAATTCCGTTTCCCCCGATATTGCTCAATGCTACCTGTTGAAAGTTGTTGAGTTGGCACACTTGATCAAACCTATTATCAACAATGGCGGAACTAACCCTGTACCTCAAAATATTGTTGTGCTTAAAGGAGGTAGATTGTGGATTGGAATTAAATGGATTATTATTATCGATTGAGTTGGAAAACGAAGACTGGTGGTGGTCAGAACGAGATGTGGGAGGGGAAAAAGAGGAGTAGGACGGAAGAAGGTTTTGAAAGTCCCAGCACACGTAATCGATTTGGCTTTTCGATCGTTAAAAAAATGTGTAATAAAAAGTTTTCCAGCTATTCCTCGAATATTATGTGTTTTTCTAGTTTTTGTTAATCAAGTGAAGTTTGTATCTAAGATATTAGGTTGATATTAAAATAGTTAAATTTCTTCTATATATTTTTTTCCACTTAGAGAAATAGAATTTAATTAAATAAACTGCTTATTCATATAATTTACTTTATGGAAATATAATTTTTTTTTTACCATCCAGAATAACTTAGGCGGGCAGTTAGGTAGTAATTACCCATAGATTCTTTGCACACATAATATGTTTTCCTGAGCAACATTTGGTTTTGTAAATTTTCTTCATAAATATGAGTGGAATTTATGACTACCTATAAAATCAGGTTGATTAAAAAAATAATTTCCATATTTTGAATATGGTATTATGGTCAATATTGAGTATAGAGATGAAAGCTTCTATGTGACAACTCACATATAGTTAATTTTGTTACTTATGCCCATGTAATTAATTTAATTGGTCCTGATCTAAATGTATCATCGTTGAAGTTTTCATTGTGGTAGATACAGATAATAGACCAATAAATTGGATTAAATAAAATATACCTTATATTTTTATAAATAAATGAGAAATAATAATTGAATATTTTAAAATATACTCTAGAATCGTAATTAGCAGTGTTAATCCAATTGCCGCTAAAATTTTTCGGAAAATGACAAGTGGGTAAAACGCGAGAAAATTCCACTTTAAATATGTCAAATAAACATTTTTTAATACAGTTTAAATACAATATTAAAAATATTTAATTTTAATGAAATTAAAAAATCTACCCCAAAAAATTAAGAATTGTTAATTTTTTAAAATATAAAATAATACTTTGAGTGAGTCTAAGCATTTCAGGTCCTTCCCTGGCATTTCTCAGTTCGCTACACGAGGCTCTGCTCGATTTGGTCATGTGTAAAGGCTGATCCCTACGCGTTAAAAAGCAACGATATTTGAGATGTAGTTGAGATTCGCCTAGATTTGCTACGGCAAAGTAGACGTTGCCGTTCGTTAGTTCCCATTGGCCCAGGCATGAGTATATTATGTTGGCGCTCTTATACCCTTTTAAAATTATTTTTGTTATTTTAGAGGATGCTCAATAGGCTTAAATTTGAATTAAGCATGCTTAAAATATTTTTTGAGCAAATAAACTTAAGTATTTTCTTGGATTAAATATATATCAATTTAAAAAATTTGTATTCGGTGTCGATGGTATCTGCTGATACCGTAATGGTATCCTTATAATAGGTGGTATAGGTTTCTGCCAAATAAATTCCTTATTTATAACCCATAGTATACAATCATATTAAAAATAATGAATATTTATCTTAATCAATGTGATTCATTTTATACCAAGTTAAACGTTCTACAAGGAAATAATATCGTAACTTTGGCTAATAGATCATAGCATAGTAATTAATGAAAGTAGTTTAAAGGTCGACGATAATAAGAAATTAAATATTAATCAATTAAACTGTCGCTTCCTTGTTTATTGCTGGTGGCGTAGGGGTCGTCCTCTATCCTATCAACGACGCTATCACAACGGGAATAATTCATGTAAAATCTTTCATTTTGAGCTGAAAAATGGGTACCAGGCCTTTGACAGGCCCTTATCTTATTGTCCGGGCTTCTACAGTAGCCGGTCTGAGAAGAATATCGATACTCGAATTTGAAAACTCCCTCCATGCTAGATCGACAATTCACTGGAGTAGGAGTCAAGGCTTATTGCGATAAACATGTTTAAGATAAAGGAAAATATATGGTATAGTAAAAGTAGCATGTTCCATTAATTTTAAACTTTATCAAAGGGCCATTTTATATAATAATAACATTTTATAGAATATAGATAAAAACACCACTATACTAATCGAAATTTTATATCACCATGAAATCACTATAAACGTGGTTATAATTCTTTATTTTTTATATTATATTTATTAAATAAAATAAGATAAGATACCGAACATGGTAATTAATTCAAGCACATCGACTCCGGCACATATATCAACCATGGTTCTAGATGTATCATCATCAATGCATTCCACTTTATATATAAATTATCAAAAATTTTAACTCATATAATAAATAAATAGAATCTAAAATTTTTTAAGAGGATGCTTAATTGAGCTTTTAATCTAGTTTTTTTTTAAATATTAACTTATATAGACCTATTCTTTAATTTATTCTAAAAAATTTAGTCATTATATCAGAGGTGCCCCAATTTAGAAAGTATAAAATATATTGACAACATTTCTAATTTTTTTTAATCCTAAGAATCATTTAAAATTATTTAAGGCTCAAAGTCAATAACAGTATTACCACATACTTTCTCCTAAAAAAAATTAACAATAAAAAAAGGAAATTCGTATCAAAATTAGCAAAAAAATGAAATCCATATCAAAAATGGCAAAAGCGGAAATACAAATCCATCCCCTCCACTTCAATTTCAATAATGATCTTGCATCAACCCACCCCCCCCCCCATCCATGGCAAAAGTGCTTGATCTCAGGACATAATATTTGTTCATAAAATTAGCTAATCTTTCTGAGAATTCTGTGTTTGCACAGATGAATTAAATGATTTAGCCATAATAAGTAGCATGTAATCTCCCAAACTCTTATTTAAAATACTTCATAATAAAAAAATTTTAATTTAAGAGTCCCTTTTTTCAGAAGAGTCGAGAAAAGTTGTCACACCATCGATGGCATAACTACCAATTTTACTCACAATTGGGTTTCATTGTCATTTTTGTAAGGTGAAATATATCATATTCATAATAGTTTTTTTACATTTTTTATATTCCAAAACATTTTGAGTTCTATAAACAATTGAAACACATGTTTTGCATTTTCTAATAAAATATTTTTTAAATATATATAGCAATAAAATATTTAATTATAATCAAAGATTGTTTTAATTTCATAATTTAATAATTAAAATTGATCAAAATTTGAATAAATTAACCTTTATTTATAATAAATAATAATATTTCTCTCTAAAACTATTTTTGTAAGTTCTTATTAAACAAACATTGTAAAACTGGTAATGAATTTCATTCAGCACATTGTTATGATGAAAATTAATTAAATCAAATAATAAAAAATATAAATCATATCATTAATGAATATAATTTTTAATCAAAATATATGAATTTAACTATGAAACTTATACCTTAATTAATATTTAAAAAAATTGATAAAATAAATTAATATAAATAGTTTACCTCCTTGAGTTACTACTTATTTTAATGAAGTAAAAATTAATATATGTATTATCCTATAATTAATATAAGCATTGTGACATAATTAACATGCTATCATCTTACTCTGATTTAAACAAAAATGTGTTTCTATAAACTGAATATCCATCATTAAATCTCATCTTTACGCATTTTCCCAAATCTTGAATATAGTCATGTGTTATTTTCATGGATGTACCAGATCCACGTTCTTCTAAATACCATGAACCCTTAATAATAATATTCAATTAGACTATATAAGAAAAAAAAACTCTCATGGTTTCAGGTATAATGCATGCAGTTCCATCATCATTTTTAGACCAAGGAATCTCAGGATACTGTATAGCTTGAAAATCTTAAATAATAAAATTAAATTAATCTGAAAAATTAATATTTACGGCATAAGGGGCAAAGATTAACAAATATTATAAGTACAAGTATTTTCAAATAGCACAGGTGAACTTCAGGTAAATTTGGATGCATGAAACTGAAATGAATGCAAGAATAAGGTATAATTTAAATGGTTAATCTTAATTCAAAATCTTTAAAAAAAATACATTTATATATATAATTTATATAATTGTATTTATTAATATAATCCAAAGTTATATTTAATTTATTGCCTATTATGAGATCTCCTATGTTTCTAAAATCATTCAAATTCTGCTATAATTACATTCAATGATTGACAAATTTGCACTCCAAAAAATAAAATTAAGCTATCAAACGATTTATTTCTCAGTTTAATAATCAAATTCTTATTTTTGTTAAAAATATTATGTAAGAAGGTGAAAGAAATGAGATATAAATGAATAAAAATTTTTGTGAAAATAATATATAAAATATATGAAAAGAAAAACTAAAAAAAAATTCGTGAATAGATAGAAAGTTGGATAGGAATAACTAGGCAGGGTCTTATCCACGATTTTATTCTTGTACCTAAGGCTGGGAGTTTGTCCCCCAGACTTCCTAGCGCTGACCGGCATGGGAATTTTATCGCTCAATGTTTTACGTTTGCACTAAATTCTGTCCTTTCTATCTGATTAAACTTAAATAAAATTTTGATATCTAAATAAATATTACATCACTTGTTATTATTTCTTTGTAAATATTAATTCATATGTTATCGTTATATTATAATAAAATTATCTATCTATAACTATCTCTACTAATGTGATTGTCATATTATTATTTAAAATTATTTATTTTTAAAACTTATTTTGTTTAATATTTATCAAATTTATAAATAGTCGCCTGATTTTTTATATCAAGTAACTCGTGATCACTTTGTCCCAAAAAAGTATAAAAGGGACTAGATTTGTAATTATATATTTAGTTGCCGAATGAAATTTGGAGTTGAAATAGTTTTAGAGTTGTGTTGGTAAATTGTGTGAGTTATCAAATTGCGTTTTACTGGTAGAGTTTTTTATAGTATATAATTTTCACAATGGTGCCGTGACCGAAACTTACAGGGGAATGTGATAGTGTTGCATTAATAGATTATATTTAAAGCGATTAATGTGACATAAACATTTGGGGAAAATTATAATGTGGTTAGTTAACAGTTGTAAAGGCATTGACAAAAATGTGATGCTAATTTAAAAAAAAAATATGTATGGCTTTAAATTAAGTATTGTTGAAATCTTTAATGGTTGATGTATATTAATTTTTGAAAATAAAGTATACGAATGCTGTGTTGAATTAAATTGAAGAGAACGAAATAAATTATACAGAGCGCAAAACGCGATAGTAAAATAAAATTTTGGGCGAAATTTATATTAATAGAGAAATATACAAATGTGAGAGTGAAAAGTGAAGAAATTTAGAGTAGTGCCGAAAGTTAGTGTTTTTATAATAATGCACTATGGTGAATTAATTTGTGTAGGAGCCAAAATTATAAATTAAAGAGGTGGGCATTGTAAATTAACAAGTGCCAAAGCTAATGTAGGGGTGAAGGTGTAAAATAATATAGCGAGATAAAATAGCGTTGAATATAAATAAAAAAAAGAAAATGGAGAAAATATATTTTAGTATGTAGCTGTGGAGCTAAGCTTAAAAAATTTTCAAAATAACAAAGCATTCGAGTTCACAAGAGATAACATTTTTTTAAAAAAAGGAAAAAGGAGTGAGGTGAGTACTAAAGAGTTAAAATAACAAGGCGAAGGAGAAAATAATTTAAATAATAGGATTGGTTCCAAATAGGAAAAATATTCACGAAAATAAGATTGACAATAAATATTATGCGAAGAAAATTTTCTTTGTAAAAGAGGTGGGAGGGGGGGGGGGAGGTTTCCTAAAAAGGGTGATGATTTACTATTATATTTAGGATAAAGGAAGATGCTAAAATATTTTTTTTTAAAGGAGAAAGATATTGAATTATTTTTTACCTTTAATTAGGAATAAAAACGTGATGTATTAGAGAATTGAAATGGTTAATAAAAGATAATTGTTAGTGAGAACAAAAAAAAATTAATTTGGATCGTATTTTTGGTCAATTGAGTAGAATATCAGCGGGTTGGATAAATTTTTTTTTTTAAATATATAATGAATTCAAGGTTACATATTTTTCTTGGTATAAAAATTGAGGAAATAAAAAATAAAAAGTTGATGTTTTAATTTATAATGATGAGAATTTTATTTAAATGAGTTGACGAATATGTAGATTTTTGAAATGAAAGAAAAATAAATCTAGAAATTGATTTATGAGACTATTAAAAGAAGAGGAATTATTTATTTTTTCGATTTAAATGAATTAACAAATGTGAGCGGTGGGAATTTTAGGAATAGAAAAATAGAGAAAATTTTAGGGGAGTATTCGGGGGGGGGGACCTATTGGGGAGTATTCGGGGATACTCATTGGGGAGTTTTCTGGGGAATTATTGAGGAGTATTCGGGAAGACTCATTGGGGAGTATTCGAGAGGACTTGGGACTGAAATATGTATATGTGGGTTGAATTTTAAAAGGAGAGATGGAAAAGAGGTGTTTGAAATTTCCATAATAGTTTAATATATTGAGATGAATTTTAAAAGGAGAGATACAAAAGAGATTTTCGAAATTTGCCTAAAAGTTCAATATATTGGGATGAATTTTAAAAGAGGAAGGGTACAAAAGTGGTTTTTAAAATTTGGTTAAAAATGTTAATAGTATTAATATAGGAAATTTTGACCTTAAAATATGTGTAAAGTACTTGAAAATGTTTTAATATATCGGCGAATTATTAGACAGTAACGCGGTGAAGTAAAAAAGAAAGAGAACAAGTTGATTAAACCAAATAGAGTGATGGGAGAAGATCGACGGTCAAATGCAATGAATTATTTTGTATTACCAAGAAAAAGAAAAGAAGAGGTATTTTTTAAAAATAATAATCAAGAATTGATTGTGCTAATGGATATAGATTATCAACTTGTGATAAAAGATATTATGGAAATGGAAACTCGATGAATACTATAGAGAGAAGTCATTAACGTTGGGTCCATGATAACTAATATTCGTTCAAACTCGATACTACGGAGACATATCGTTAACTTTGGGTCCAGATAACAATATTCGTTTAAACTCGATGAAGATTACGAAGGGAAATCATTAACGTTAGGTTAAGATAACTAATATTCGTTCAAACTCGCTCGATGCTACGGAGACAAATTTAACGTTGGGTCCAGGTAACAATATTCGTTCTACATTAAAGTTGGTTCAAAATAACTAATATTCGATCATAAACGATGAAGCCAATGCCTACTTCAGCGAAACTATATGGATTTTGAAAATAAAACCATTATACTATCAAAGATATGGGAAGGAAGATAAATTCATGTTGGTTCTTGTGAAATATTATGGAATTCTATATTATTCAGAATAAGGAATCGAATGGGGTAAGTTAAAGAAAAAATATATATTCTAGAAAATTTTGAATCATATTTGATGGTTTAAATAAAATAATTTGGAATTAATAATAATTAGTAATAGACTCAATATAAAACTGAATATTTGACACGATTGAAAGAACCCATGATGAATTAGATTTAAAAGTATGCATATTCTAAAGTTACAACGGAGCCAACAATACCTGGGTCGAATGTGAGCATTTATGGAGGGTGTGTCATATTCTAAATAATTGTAAAAATAAAAAATATAAAATTATTTATTTTTAAAAATTAGACTAAATTTTATAATTATTATGACTTTTTTTTGTAATTATATATTTAGTTGATGAATAAAATTTGGAGTTGAAAATTTATTACTTTTAGTTTTAGAGTTGTGTTTGAAAATTGTGTGAGTTAATAAATTGCGTTGTACTGGTAGAGTTTTTTATTGTATATAATTTTACAGTGATGAAAGTAACTAATTACATTTTTGCAAATAAATAATGTAACTCGTTATAATAAAAGATGTAACTAGTTATTTTTTGGAATGTAACTACAAAGGTAACTAATCTTTCTAGTTACTTTTAAAAACATTTAGAAAATATATATATCTATTATCTATAATACTTTTTGTTAAATATAAAGTCTCACCAAAATTACTATCATTTCTTTAGTTTAAGGAAGCATGTATTTAGAATATGCTCATTCATTTATATTCGAATTAAATGGAATATAAAAGAATATAAATAGTAACTTATTCGTTTTTTTCGACAAATTATTTTAACTTATTTATTAGGTTATTATTTGAATAATTAGTTTTATACGAATCAAATTATTCAGCATAATTATTAGTATTTTTTTAAATAAAGTTTAATGATTTGTCATATCTTGCTAACCTATCAATCTAGGCGCGATGGGTGGAAAAGTATAAAATCTCCCCAGCCCCTCCCCACCATTGGGAATTTTATTGTTCATAAACGCATTTTTTTAGCACTATAGATTGAGTTATTTGAACACATAATTGAAATATGAAATTATTTTATTTGAAAAATGCACATATAAAAATATACAAAAATATAACTATGATCAAATTTGTTTATAAAAATAAATAGAAGATGGGAATTGACTTATAACCAATACTGAAAAAAATAAGTTGATTTAATGATTTTACAAATATTATTTAATAAGGTTGATATAGTTTAATTTTACTTGTAAATACTTGTTAGGGATTCAATTATAAAATATATGTGATTAGAGAAATATGTATAACTATATTACATGATCAATGATTGAGCAGTGCAAACCAATAAAAATAAAGCATTAACAATATAATTTTGGTTGAGATGTAATTTTAAATGCCTTAAAAACAATTCAAAAGTTAATCGTTTCAGTTTTTCATGTCCTAACTTTCTTATATAACTATTATAGTTGGGTAATTACTTGGCTTTTAGCCATTTATTTAAGTCAATTTTTAGCCAGCTAAAAAAGTGGCAAAACAGAGTTTTTAACCGAAAACTGTCAATTTTGCCTTGGAATTATCCTTAATAATATAGCAGCTCAAATTTGAAAGAAACTGATATCAATTAAAACGCCTGGATATTAACAGATTTTTTACTATACGCGCT